AGGGAATAGAGCATTATGGAGAGGGAATAGAGTGGAAGGGTCAGGGACAGGGATGGGGATAGAAGAAGACGGTAGAACCCCGAGTTCATCCCATTCCCCACTCACCCCATCCTCGGCCGCCTGCCCCTCCCCAGGAGAAGCTGCTGTCCCCCGATGCCGAGTCCTTGTGCCCCAGAATGGGGTGTCCAACCTGAGAAACGTTAAAAAGCCACATGTGACTGGGGGGATAACGTTTTCTGGCAGACGAGCAGCTTTCGGGTCTGCAGCTCAAGGGGAGGACGAGCACCCAAACAGGGTTGGAGCAGCTCCAGGGGAACGGGATGGGAGTGTGGGACATTGGGACACGGGACCCGCTCAAACAAACCCAACAAACCCACTGCTGAGGGATGGCAGCACAGAACCAGTCAGGAGGACAGTCAGCATTTAGGGCACGTTCTAGCAGCTTGCTGACAGAGTGCCAGGGACAAGAACTCTGGTGCAAACCTACTCCCAGTCCTGCACTGACTGAACACTGGTATTTCATTTACCCTGCACTGAAACACAGAGTTGAAACTCGCCCTAAGTCATTAGTCAGTATTTAAAACACCACTGTGCTCCAGATGTGCCTGGATGCCAATTTTAATAACTAATTAAGTTCATCTCAAAAACTAATTAAAGACACTAACATACACCCAAACCAACTTACATCAACTATACTCTAATTAAAACTGCTTTGAAATATAATGTGCCAGGAGTCCAAAACAATGTACCCAACTTACATTAAACCTCTCAGACATATTCTGTCCAAGCATAACACAACTTACATTAAAATCACGTGAAGATCCATGGTGAAATATTCTCAGCCTGCCAAAATTAGGAGTAAAGACTAAACTGAAATTTTCTATTAACCTTACAATGAAATAAATGAGTTTAGAAGAGCCTTATTGGAGTTAGCAGTATTTGTCAGGGTCACGGGCTTCATTTACAGCATTTGCTTAATGTTGGCACACAACTCGAACAGGTGAAAGCAAGAAACTACTTTCACTCTTTCTCTCAAGATCATGTCTAGGTCAGTGTGTTTTCCATAGTGTACTTGGTGTCTGGACTAAAAATACCAGAGAGAGTGTTTAATTCTCAGTCAACTAAATGGCTTGGCTGTATGGGGGGACTTCTAGAAATCTAAACTCTACTCATACCTGTAAAGACAAATCAGTCAATCCTGCAGATACTGATGAGTATGACAATGTTTCAATGTTGAATATGTGTGACTTCTCACATGTCCTATACAAAGGTATTTTGTAACAGTAGACCCAACAAAAGCCAAGTACTTTTGTAAATTGGGAACGCTTCCTTTGCAACCTCTGGTTATACCAGAGCAAATCTTCTGTGAGTTTGGTCATCAAGTAAAACTGATTAAACTAGTGAAGTAGGATTTCTCTATGTGTTAGTTGTTAATTCATTGACATTCCAGTGGCCGATTTGCTTTAATGCACATTCTATTGCTAGAGCAGAGAGCCTTTTTCTCACCATTATCAATTAATCACTGGTTGATCAGAACAAAACTAGTGATTCCTGTTAGCCTGACTTCCTGCAAAGAAGTTATAGGGGCTCATGGCGTGGACAATTTGATGACATTACCTCTGAGGGGTGAGGGTTATCGTGTCATCCTCCCCACAGCACTGAGAGGCCAACAGGAAAAGTTCACAAATTTGTTTCGACCTGCCCACCATTCAAAAATTGACTTGTGTATCTACAGTGCTACTATGATGGGTCACAGATTTTAATAGAAACATAAATTATACATTGTAGCCCATAATGAAGTGCATTGCTTTTCATTTATTGATACTAATATTGTTTTCTAGAGAAGTTGTGTAAAATACATTAATCTGTCAAAGACATTTATGCAACAGCATTATGCAGCCACCTATGAAAATGTTAACAGCTTTATGCAATTTACTTGGGGATACGGTGGCAAAAGTCATCCTGCTTGCTGGAGGGAGCGAGAGCTCAGTGGGCTCCCCTTCCATCCCTTCCCCTGCATAAGGAACATTTACAGCTGAGCTGGGAATGCAAAGGAACGGGACAGTGAGCAAGACAGCTGGCAGCATTGCAGAGGGGTCTGCTTAGGCATGGAAATCTATGGTTGGTGCTTACCAAAAAAAGGTCATTTGTAGGAAGTGTGACATGTCATGTGATTAAACAGATTTTTCCTTGACCCCTGGAAAGATTCTCCTGGCTCTTAGAAGCTGTCGGACTGCAGAAGTCCTCCAGAAGAAACCACACCAGCTCCTTTCTCCTGGTGGGGGAGATCCCATTCAGAGCCTGGATGGGGGCTTTTATACACAGAACTCCTTTTCCTGCCGTGCTGGAGAAAAGGGTTGTGTCTGCAGCAAAATATAAACAGAACCTCTCTGTTGCCAAAATAGTTGCCAGTTTCTGTTTGGATGAACAGAAACCAAGAGGCCAAGTTTACAAACACTCCGCCCATGACAAGCTTTATGCACGGCAATCACTTTCAAAGTCCTTGGTAATAAAGTTACTGATGTGCACAAACCCTTTCTAAATCAGAAGCTTTTTCTGCAAAATGTTACTGCAGAAATGTGTTGACAGACTGACCTACCTGAGGATGGGATGACCTAAAAATGCACAGTAGAGAACCAATAATTAACACTTTTTGTAACAGTATTTCCTGCACACAGAGCCAGGAGCAATTGTTGCATCAAGAGCACAAGACACCCAAAAGATTTTTCTTCTAATGCATTTAATTACAGGCAGCCAGGAATCCAACACGAATCTCACACTTCAACCACCCCAAAAGCTGATGATGTTCATCAGGCTGGCTGACTGTCAAAGATGTGTAGTTCACCCTGTATTTTCTGGAGACCTCCATCCTGCAATATCTTCCCTCCCCTTTTAAGATCATCTCTCCAGCTTAACTGAGAAGATGCTTTAGAGAACGGGAATTATTTTATGGAAGTAACTTCTTGCTCTTCCCAAAGTCAATTTAACTGGAGACTAGAGACAATGGTTATCTCGGTGAGATTGAGAGATGTAGCCAGCTCTGGTCTCTGGTGGAAA